AGCTGTCCTCCTCCCTTGGTTAGTGGGGTAGGGGAATGTCTGCTGAAGGAGAAGGGGGAGGTGGAGCAGACGGAGGGGGCTGGGAAGTAGCAAATTTTAGATACGACATTTTGGAATGGTACCCTCGAGCGACTTTAAGGAATGGGCTTATAGATTCTGTTTGTCGCTTACTTTCATACCGCCATGCAAAGACCCAGAAAGATGAAACCGGGCGGTGTATTTGTATCCCCTTTTTACCGTGATCAGACGGGAGTAAACGAGCTGTAACTAACTTTTGTTTTAAGTTTCTAAATTTCTATTTCAATATCTAATTTCCCATTGCGAAGTGCGCCCTTGACATAAACAGCATTAAAAACAAGTACGTTTTAATAACGTTCAACCCTAATCATCTCAATGTTTTAAATGACCCATATCATTAGAGCTAATTGTAACTGTTCTACTGCTGAGCGACATGAATGCCTCTGTATTTTGATTTTCTGTTTTAAAAAAGGCTCGTTTGTTAGTTGTTCAACTCTGGTAAAGTGTTAAAATAAAGCTGTTGCACCCTTGGAGTGTGTTTATTTTTATTTCTAAAAGTAGTAAGTACTTGTAAGTAAGAGAAATAATATACTGAGATTTGGCAATAACACTGTCGTATCTGGAGTTGCGATACCCCTGTCTGTTGAAATTTGGAATCCAAAAAGTCGTATCTCAAGATACGACACTTTGTCTTCAGCATCTTACTGTCGTAACTGGTGTTACTACAGTTTGCTTGCAAGTTTTGATTTGTAGTTTATCGTAACTCATCATGACAGGAAAAGTGGCTTAGGCACTTCATTAAAAGTATGAGCGTGGACTGTACTTTGATGCTCACACGCAAAAATGAAACCGGTATTATTAACCGTTTGGAAATAAAACAGTTTTTTTCGTTTCCTGAAAAGTAGCAAATTTTAGATACGACTTTTTGGAATGGTACCCTCGAGCGACTTTAAGGAATGGGCTTATAGATTCTGTTGGTCGCTTACTTTCATACCGCCATGCAAAGACCCAGAAAGATGAAACCGGGCGGTGTATTTTTATCCCCTTTTTACCGTGATCAGACGGGAGTGAACGAGCTGTAACTAACTTTTGTTTAAGTTTCTAAATTTCTATTTCAATATCTAATTTCCCATTGCGAAGGTAACATTGCTTGACAGCGGCCAAAGAAAAATAAATGTATCACTACATGGTGGAATCAGGCGCCCCTCAATGTTTGGGAATATAATATATTAGGGAGTAATTAGTAATGTCTAAAAATGTGTTCACTTTGGTGGGGAAAAAATTCGTCTATCTTGAATAAAAGTCGAGAGATTTGCAATTGAAAGAGGTGGAGGTCGCCTGGTGTATAAGGTATTATTATCGAGAAAATAACTCAAAACCTAATGACTTCCAAACTTTGAGAGAAGGTAAGGAGTTGAAAGGAGAAAATTTTAGAGTAGAAAATGTCCGACTCTATCACTACTATCAGGTTTGGTGGGTGGTTGGCGGGTGCTCTGATGTGGTTTTCTCCTTCTTTCCTATCAAACATCTATCGTCTTTATCTAACACCCCATCTTTTTTGTGTTCGTTACTCTTTTGTAACACCTCTAATCTTCGGCACTTATATGACTTTATTGTGTAGTAAGTGCCGTAAAACTTTTACTGAAACAAAAACAAAAATGTCAAGTTTTGAACCTAGGACCTATTGATTTGAGAGCAAACCCCGTCACCTCTAGACCACGAGAGCCGACATGGAGCCTTTAAAGAGAGACACATAAATGTGATGATAAATGCCATGAAGTAAGTAAGTTGTTGGATATGGGTCTAACGCCCCTATCAACACTTGTTAGGCTTTTTAAGAGGCAGGATCTCCAAATTCAAAGTCCATTTCCGATAGAACCGACCCAAATGGGTTGATACCTAGGCCTTCTCAGGAACTGAGAAAGCCTAGGTTGATACCCTTGAACACTCCACAAAAAAACACGCGTTCAAGAACGCAACAAGTGGCCATTCACTCTGTAATCCAACATGGTACCAACAGAGGGTCCTGCCTTTGTGTGACAGGAGGAAATAATGGATTACAACACATAGATAGATAGATAGATAGATAGATAGATAGATAGATAGATAGATAGATAGATA